AACAGTTAATGTCACCTGGACCTAAAAAAAACTGTCAGAGTTGACATCTAATTTAAAAAATAATTGCTCATTGTGAGTTCATAAGCTCCAAAGTTACTTTGGCATGCAGTAATAATAATTACTGCCCACTGTCACAACAGCCTCACTCAGTGTTTGCAACAACATACAAAAACAATTTAGAGCTCGTGTTACTATGTACAGCAATGAAGAAATAATATTAAGACCTTTGTCTATGAACTTTAATACATTCTGGGTCTTTTTAGGGAACAGAAATCAGCTTTTTCAGACTTTTTAAGAGAGACACCCTGCATATACTGTGTTGTTGCCAAACCCAAACCTATGGTACTGTTTGAGTTTTTAAGATAACTTCTGTGTTTCTGTATTGTGCAAGATTTTTGACATTAGACACGCAATGGCTCCGAGCATTTCGCTACAATACACTACACAGCTAGCACTGCTTCATTGTTCATTCTTAACTAACTTTCGTCTTGGCACGCGTTACCTTGGTACGAAAGAAGAACTGGGCTCATGGATGCTACATGTCCCTAACGGACCCAGAGCAGCCTCCACAACAAAACTCCCCACCAACACAGAGTAACACAAGCTGCTCTGCTGACTATTGGGCTACACGCTGTTGAACCTAAAGTCTTAGCACATACTCTCACAGATACAGTGGTGCACCACGGTGCTGGCTGGCCGGCTGACAGGTGGTGTGCAGATAATGCTGTCTCATTAGAGCAGCGTACTAAAGCACTCAGAGCTGGTCAGGAAATCCACTTAGCAGAGATGGGAGCGGGACAGCGGGGAGGACCTGACAGAATAGGCATTGTAAGGGGGGGGGGGGGGGGGTCTGTACTCATGTCTGCATAGATATTCCTGAAAGTCACGTGAGGTTATTGATTCTCAAATGGAAAGGGGAAATAGTCATTTCATCAGTATTTTTGAGTAAATGTTCAGGGTCTTGCTCAAAAGTAGAATCACACCCTGACAAAACTGGCACCATGCTGCCCCTCGGCCCACAGCCAGGCCGCCCTTCAGTTAGCCCTCGCTGCCACTGTTAGATGGTGTGAACATCTGAGATGGGAGTGGGGATCCTGCAGTGTGTCGCCACCGCCCTGACCTCAGCAATTATCTGATCTTTACAGTTTCCTGGCTTCCTTGTAGGTACAGACAGCCAGTCACCTAAACAGTCACCCAGCTGGTCAGTATACCATTAAATAAGGCTCTGTTCAGACCATTAAACAGCGCTGCATCATAAAACAGACGTTCAGATTTTGGACTGTTAAAAAGACTTCTGAAGATGTCTGCCTGAGCTTAAACCCATATCTACCTACATACCTGTTTTTTTGACCACTCAGGGCACTGAGAAACAACAATGACATAATTTGTCAATATTGACAAAAGGTGATATGGATAAACTTGTTAGCAAACTGTCACTTATTTACAAACCCAACAGTCACAGAGAAACTCAAACTTTCATTTGGTGTTATGCTTTTGGCCACCTAAATAATATAAGCCCAGTAACTACTCTCCTCTAGCTCTGTTTTTGGTCTCAACTCCAGAGAAAAACATCTGGCTCTTTAGCTGCTAAATGCTCCACTGTGTTCACAGCTGGCCGCTAACTGTATCTGTCTGCTGTTTGCTGTTGGACAGGTATTGTACAGTCGCTTTACAGAGCTTTTCTTTTTTAACAGGAAAAACAGCTTCAGCTAAAAACGATGTTAGGAAAACAGCTAACAGTTAAGCAGCAGGGCAGACACTAAACACTAAGCTGAAGGTCACTAATGCTGTGTTAACCTGATTGTGAAAGTTTTCAAATTCATTATATAATAGCTACTTTAAGATATTAACAAGAAGAACTTCTGCTATCCCCTGATACATTATGGACTAAATTAATTGACTCAGCCCTAATTTTTAGTTGTAAAACAGCACAGCAGTCTCTTTATGTCAGAAAAGGCTTTTAAGTTGCAGGTGTATTATTGAACACAATAATCTCATGACATGTCTTGTTTTGTTTGACCAATGGTCAATGGTCTTTTGTTTAAAAAATGACAAATCAATATAAAAGTCTTTGCCAATTAATTATCTTTCAGTTAATTAATTGACTTGTTGTTGCAGCTCTAAAGGAATAGTTTAACATTTTGGGAAATATGGTTGTTCGCTTTTTAGCTTAGAATTACATGAGAAGATTGACACCACTGTTAATGCACCAAGTATGAAGCTATAGCCAGGAGATGATTAGCTTAGCTTAGCATAATGACTGGAAGTAGGTGGAAACAGCTAGCATGGTTCTCATCAACATTCAAAAATATGAAACTTAGTTATTAAAACGTTGTATCTCATTATTTTAATCTGTACAAAAACAGAAATTGCTACATATTTAGATATATACTTATTAATGTACAGACATGACACGAGGGTGGCGTCAAGTTTCTCACCTAAATCTCTGCAAGAAAATTGTCACACTAAGAGTTAGATAGCATCAATCAGCCTGCCAGCCTGCAAATGGTGAGTCAGTCAACAAACTGTTAGTCAGCCACAAAGTGACTCAACTACTCACTAAGAAAATTAGTCATGCACCACTCACTGGAACTGATCTGTATGTCTAAATTGATGAAACGTTAAAATGAAAAGGATTTGGTTCCATCACCCAGTTTTCTTTTCTTTTCTCTAAGTCATGAAATCCACAAGCAGACGGAAAGTCGGTGAGCGTGAAGCCAGTCCACCAGCCGTACAGTTGAGTTAAGCAGCCAATCAGCCAGTCAAGACCTCATAAGTCGTTCGGTAACTTTTCCTACAGTACTCATGACTGAATGGCCTAATCAATACACAGCGGAAGCGTTTAAAGTAGGGGAATGAATGAATGGACGGCAGCCATCATCTCTTTGTTTTCAATGAGCGCCACTGCAAACAAGCCAAAATCTTGTTCCCACAGTAGCACACACAAAAATACAAACACCAGAAATATGCATGGGTGTTATCTGCATGCACAAGAACAAACCACTAAATTCCTTCAATAAGTAAAATGTGCACATTCATTCTCTCCTTCACATATGCAAACTAAACACCTTAACCTCAGTAAAGATAAATGCAGTATCAGTTAGGAAAAAAAACAATGAACTGAAAGCAGTTACGTATGTGTGTGTGTGTTAGATATGTATGAGTAACTTCTGTAAGCCTATGCATGTGAAAGTGTGCAGAGGAACCCTGCAGCAATTCACATGAATGGAAGTGAGACAGAAAGATAAAAGCTCTTCGGTAGTCTTTACCGAGAAGAAACTAATGTGGACAGCAAGTCAAGTGAAAAACAAGAGGAAGTGAAAGACAGAATGGGGGAGGAGAGAAGAAAGAGAGAGGGGGAGGAAATGGAAGAAGGAATGACAAGCGATAGAAGAAAGGAAGGTAGGGAAGAGAGATAGGATGGGACAAATACAGTAATTAGGGAGTAAATATGAGTAACAGTACTTATCACAGCCAAATCCTGATTTCACATGGTGTTTGTTATGCTACTAAAGATACAGTCCTCCTTCTTTCTACGAGAAAACACATTTGTACAGATTCTCAAAGGACTGTTTAATGACCCTGTAGCCCTCGGTGTTAATACAGGCAACATCGTGCGATGATATATTGACCATCAGCTAAAAGGGAGCAGAGCAGCGATAAATCAGATTAAAAATAGAAATAAAAGAGGAGCAGGAAAATGAATTGTGTCTAGAACATTGGGATCGTCGTATTGATCCAGGATTAAAAATATCTCTCTGGTATCTCTTCTGAACTTTTACAAGAACCAGGGGATGAAAAAAGGGACAAAAAAAAAAAAAAATCAGATGTACAATGAGGAACAAAAGCCCAGTGAACATTTATAGCAAGTTTTGGTTTTCCAACATGCACATTATCCCAAAACCACTGCCCCTGCCTGTTTTATAACCCCAAACAAGACAATTCCCAATTTAGGTGTAATCTGTCCAACTCAGGGAATCCATATCAATCAATGATTCATCAACAGATCAGTCAATTTCCAGCCCCCCATCTACACTGACTCAGCCCTGCATGGTGACAACATAGTGACTGAAATTCAACCTCTGCTGCAACAAAGATATGTACATTGATGTATTTCCTCTCCAACAGAAGTGTTTACTGGGTGAAATTGTCTCTTTACTTTCAAATCCACCTGTGGTTTACCAGCACTTTGGTTTCAAGTCCCATTTTTTTTTCCTGTTTTGGAGCCAAGTGAACTGAAATCCCAAAAAGCAAGGCAGACTGACATGCATGAATTAATATAGAAGGAAATAGGTAAAGAAATGGTAACTCTTTGGTCACCATGTAGATGTTTCACTTCTGTCACTATGCTGTTTTGGCAACAGCAGCTTAGGGGCCAATGAGGACCATTTTCCTCCACTCCTTATATGGAAACTCAATATTTACAGAACAAAACAATTTTTATATGTGTGTTTTTGAGTCAGTTATCAGTTATTTCAAGTTATGTTGTTATTATTGCACCGCTTTTCCAGATTTGAAAGCACTGTCTTTCTATAGCTATGCTGTTATGGAGTGAGTTGCACTGAACACACTAACAAAGTTCTGTTTTTTAACATCATCTGAATAGTGAAAAAACCTTTCCACAAGCATTTCATGTCATGAAAACTTTTTGCAGTTAATTCAGCGTCTCGCTGCCGTATTCCATTGTGTATTTCCCTGGAAAATAAGTGAGAAAGAGCAATTCTTTAAAGGTGAAACTGAATTAAAATCAGCCGAGTCTGATGTTATGAATTTATACCGAATTGAAGAGTGGTTCATGAACATTTGAAAATGAGCTTCAGTCCTTGCAACACTGCTGATAAGTAACCAGGCATTAAATCACCTTTTTTTAATAATGGAGTTTGGCGTCGCGTCCGGGAATTGTTGATATGGCTAAGTCAAACACGACTGGACCATAGTCCTTGGATAAAGCAGCATATAAGTAATAAGACATCCATTTTTATACATTCTTTTCTACTTACCATATCATAGACATTTAGGATGATCGGCTCGTTTGCCATCACTGGCATCAAGATCTTTTTCGGCCTAGGTCCCTTCTTCTCTGCGGGTCTTGTTCCTCCGCACACCCCCTACTCCTTCCCTCGGTGCGAGATCCAAACTCTCGCCCTCTTAAAAATAGACCCTACTCCTCCCCTTATTGCTAGCACTTTCACGACAGATGATCAGCTTGACAATGCAGCTTCGCAACCCGGTGTAAAAAGGTTCGAGTGCCGAGGATATTTTTCACCGTCCAACATCTGACTGGCTTTGTCCAAACCAGCCCCCCTTCGCCTAAGAAAGCACCAACGGCGGCGGCGGACAGCTGAGCCTCTCGCTTGTCAAGACGAACCGACTCGCTAAAGCCGTTCAGCTACTGAGGTCGAAGTGAAAAAGCTGACTTTACACAGTGAATTTTCTCTTCTAGGAGGAGTGTCGTCACGGTAAAACTGTAATTTCATTTTCCCAGAAGAACTAGTCAGCAAAATAGCGTAATGTCGAGATATTAACACGTAATTTCCTCAGTAAAAATGACTCGCTACTCCCTTATTTGCTCGCTAACGGTAGCGCTGGAGCTGGCAGGCAGGATGCGACTGCTGGGAGAAAATTGGTTAGTGAGAGTGGGCGAGTGCAGCGGTGCGATGAGCCCACACTCGATTAATCAACCTGGTGCTCTGAGCATTATGGGTGATGTAGTTCTTCAAAATAAACGTATGTAATTAAATCTGAGAGAAACTGGTGCTGATTAAATGTAGCCCACATGGATGAAAGAAGAACTCAGATATCTTACTTCAGTAAAAGTACCTATACTACAATGTAAGAGTAGAAAGAGGAATGTATACAAAATCCTACTTAATTAAAGACATATTCACAGCAAAAGGAAAAGTGACCGGACTGGCTCCTGTCAGTTTTACCATATTATATATTATTGGATTATTATTACTAATGCATTAGCACATATGCAGAATTTTTATGTTGTGGCTAATGTGTAGCTAATTTGAACTGTTCTATAATCTTTTGGGTAATTTAATAGCAATGCCTCATATTTGAAGGTCACCACTACAGCTACACCAATAAATTGGCAGGGCTTATATACTGCCATTAACTTATCGCAGATATACACTGACATTAATGAAATGTCAAATCAGAAATCCCACAGTGATGTTAAAGGTCATTTAGTCTCCATTACATAGTATAACCAACAGAGAACTCTGTGATGTTTATTTTTACACTGAAATGATCCTCAAGTAAATTATACATACCTAAAATTGTATTTAAGTACAATACTCAGGTAAATGTACTTGGTTACATTCAACCAATGGGGGCTAGAAACTCTTATTACTCTCAGTCATTATTTTTACTGCTCATGTTCAAATACAACACTACAGTCACTCACATAATTAATTTTATTGGGCACTTATATGTTTCCGCTGACATTACTCTTCGATCCTGGATGTGCGAATGGTTCACAAAAAAGGAGTCCTGTATCTCCATCCGTGTAGACATCAGTAATGAAAATCATATTTGAATGGGCAGAAGCATTAAGACTTAGGCGCCATCATGGTCCTTTTCCTTACAGTCTTCACTGCAGAATTTGAAGCAGAATAGCAGTGACTTATATTCCTGTGTTCAGCACTCTGCTGAAATACTGTAAGCTTCCCGCAAAATGCATCTTCCTCATGAACCCTCCTGGTCATCTTCTCCCAGCAGTTCCATGAGCGTCTCCTGGTTGGAGAACTCCTGCAGCGAGGTGTTCATGTCGTCCAGCAGATCCTCTCCCAGCAGGAAGCTCTTGACGTCATGGACTGTCATGCCGATCCGGTGGTCTGTTATACGGTCCTGGGCAAAGTTGTACGTCCGGATCTTCTCTGATCTGCCTCTGGTGCCAATCTGGAGGAGGAGAAAGAAGAAGGAGATAAAGGAGGTAAAACATAAAAATGACGTTCCTTCGCTCACTCGGTTTTTGACATTGTTTATGTTCTACCTTTATCTGGCATGTGTCCTTTTTATTTTGCTGTCCTTTATTTTGCATTATTAGCTCTTTTTAGCAAAGAAGACAGAAAATTACTTGAACATTCAGACGTGGACCTTTTTTTCTGTGTTACTTGTTTGGCTGATTAATTAAATTTTATCTAATTTTATTGTAACAGTAACTAATGAAATTCAACATCCTATTATTGTTATTATAACATTTCAGAGAGACAGCATCACTTGTCATATCATCTGTAGATACATTATATGGGTCTCAGTGTGTCTCACCTGTATTTTACGTTGGTTGTAGCGTTTGCTGGTCTCCTCCTCCAGCTTCATGCTGTACAGTTTTGCTCTCAGAGCCGTCATGGCTTTCTCCTTGTTCTTCAGCTGGGACCGTTCCTGCTGGCACTCTGCAACCACACCTAACAAACACACAAGGTACGATTCTTATGTGGACATCCCATTGACGTGCACTCTCGTTGTGCTTCATAAGCAAAACTGTGAAGTATGTTCCTATCTATTGCAACACAAGGTGTATGCAGTTTTTACCTGAAGGCAGATGGACTATTCTGACTGCACTGTCTGTGGTGTTGACACTTTGACCTCCAGCTCCACTTGCCCTCTTTGTTTCTATCTTCAGGTCCTTTGGGTTTATTGTGAAAGAGATCTGAAAGGAAGACACAAATACTAAAAATGTACTTATGTCTAAATTAACAGCAGATGAGCAGAAGAACAGAACTACTTATCATCCTACATGCATTGGTAAAACAGTGTTAAACAACAAATGGGAAATGAAGAATCAGCTATAACGGGCACTAAATTAAAGCATATGAGGAAAACATTTATTAAGTCATGCTAAAATAAATAAAAATAAATGTTCTGTGCTTTTAATAATACACACAGATTAAGCTGTAAATGCCAAAACTACGATACTTGCATTTTTGTATGGCTGAAAAGTGCTTTGACTTCATTCCTCCCATCACAACAAACTAACTTTTCCCACCTATGTGATATCACATTAGTCAACAATTCCATCCCACATCCAATTTCAACAGGAAATGCTTGATATCAAGAAATCAAGATGCTCTCCAAAATATTTATTCTATTTGATCTGCAATGATTCCTGTGGGAAACTGGGTTGTTCACTATGTTTGTGTCATCCATCCATCAATCCCTCATGTAAACTGCACCTCAGTGGGTTGGGGCAGTATAGCCACAGTCATGGTGCTGGTGTGCATGCGGCTCTGTTTTTCAGTCTTGGGAACCCTCTGCACTCGATGAACTCCACCCTCAAACTTCATTCTCTTGTAGCTCTGAGGGCCGCTGATACTGGCCGAGGCGTGACGTAGTCCACCTGGTGGAAGGTGAGCAATAAGTACCAATACTATAGTGCTAGTCAATAGTTTATAGCAGGTGATTCTGTACAGTCCGACTGCAAGCTGGTGGCAATGAGATGTAGTTAATTCAAATGCTCTTGTGAAAAAGGGGGAATGTTTTCACACTTATTCATTTCTAGAATTTAGTTTTTTGTTTTAAAACATATTTTTAATGAAAACATTTAAACTTTCCTCCAAGAAATCTTCCACTTCAGTGATCTCTTCACATCTGTGGCGTAGCACAGACGCCCCCTTGTGTTTGGAGTCAGTTACTGCAATATTGGCTGTACAGTAAAAATGTAAAACAGCAGGGTTTTCCTTTTTTTGTTGACATACTATGATCCTCCTATCTCATCCCTACTTTCAGCCTAGAGCTGCTACAATTATTAATTGATAGAAAAATAACCAGCACATAACATCATAATCTTAATTGTTAATGTCATATTTCAACAAAAATATTTGATGGTCTCAGCTTCTCAAATTAGATGATTTGCTGCTTTTTTGTCTTAACATTATTTTAAATTGAAAATGGTTATGGGTTATGGACTATTGTTGGATAAAATAAGACCTTTGATGACTCTGGAAACTGTCATTTTTTTCTGATGTTTTATACTAGACACGAAAATACTTAGCAGATTAATCAGTCCTACTTCAGTAACTAGTTGAAAGACAAAAGCTCTTTGGCTGACGCTTCCCAAAAAAAACCTCACTAGAGTTTGTGTGCACTGACCTATCTCACTGGTCATGTGCTCCAGGATGTCAAAGGACCAGCCGTGATGCTGAGCGAAGCCCTGGTACATGTCAAACACCTTCAGAGGAGAAGAGACAGAACGAGTCATCAGGTAAATACACAGAAAATGTTGTGGGTGTTTTATATCATCATTATGAGCCCTGCCTCTATGTCCCTGTCTTTATCCATTCTAAAGTTTCTACTGTTGTCCTGATGTAAAATGACAGGGACAATTGTTGCAATTACATGGGTATCAAATTTTTTTTGTACCCATCTTATTATAAAATGTATTTATTGTTCTTTCTCTAAATAAATGTGCTGCTACTTTCTTGGTCAAGTATTATTTTTTAAAAAGTGCATTGTCTTAACAAGAACATAAGAAATTCCAGACCTCAGCAGTGAACAGCATGGCCTCCTGACCCCCAACACCGGCAGTGACCTCTAGGATGAGGTCACTCAGATCAGCCTCCTCCTCAGGGATCAACAGATCCATGATCTGATTGGTGAAGCAGTTTGATTTGACAGTAAGGAACAAAAACAAAACAGCAAATAGAAACATCTTCAGTTAGCTGATGGTTTAACATTAGTTCTGGTGTTTATTTATACGGCACAAGTTTGTCGCAAAACTGAAATGTCACAGTTCTACCTTTTGTCTAAGAGCTTGAATATCTTGCAAACAGCCTTCTCTCTCCAACTCCGCCAGTTCTCGCAGGGCTGGGTCTTCATCTTTGAGGAGAAACAAAAATATACAGTAAACAAGGGTTGTGTGATATGTGGACCTGAAACAATGAGTTGTTTAATCAACTGATTGATCTGTGGAAAAATAATTGGCAACTATTTCAATAATCTATTAATCATTTCAGTCATTTTTCTAGCAGAAATACTGTAAAAATATTTATGTATAATAATTGTTAATTATTTTACAGATCGATGAAAACTGACACCAAAGACCATTATTCAATCTATTTATTGCCCCTATGTGACATCAGCAGAGCAGTCTCACCTTTCAGGAGCATCTCGGTCTCAGCGATCTCTTTGAGTTTGGTGTCCAGCTCTCTGATGCTCTGGATGAGAGGAGCCAGCAGGGACACCTGGCTCCTCTTGGTCCTCAGCTCGTCCTCACTGCGCTGCTCCTCCATCGCACCGCTGTTTACTACTCTCAAACATTCGCTGTAGTCTGTCTCAATCTTCTTTAGATACTCCTGCATAGAGCGCCTGGCAAAAAGCTCATCCACTGACAGTAACTTGGTCACCAGCAACTGTGCACTGGTGTGGAGAGTCCTTGTAGTTCTTTCACAGTGATTATGAAATCTAACAGTTTGGCTGATGGCATTTGATGATTTTTGAAAAAGAGGTATCAACTTACTAAAGATACCATCCTTTCCTGTTGGAAGGAGGGTTACAGCTCTCCTGTAAGCCATGTTATAAGTAGATTTGGTAGGAATATTGACTGTAAAGCGGCACAAACATCCTCATATGACTCGCTGACACTTTACTAGCTACTTAATATGTCTATCTTTCAGTCAAATAACAAACGGTTGAATCGCTCCCTTAGGTTTTTACTCTCATCGGAAACATCGATACGGGTATTACGAACCTGTTTCCAGTCATAAAATGTCTAAAGACAATCTAGCAGGTGACTGTCAAGGTTTGTTTATAAAAATATTGCTCCTTTACCACCTTGTTGAAGGGTGCAGACATGTTGAATGTTCCACGCATGCGCAGTTGGTAAAACTTCTTCTTCTGCAGACAAATTTACAGCAGGTTTAAGACGACTCCACCATGATTACGCCACTCTGCAACGAAAATAAAAGTACACCAAGACTTAGTGAATGATAACAATATTAATAATAATAATAATAATAATAGTAATAATAGTAATGGTAATGACTGTGTGGACTTGTAAATTGCACATTGAATTAAAAATAGGGTTGACACTGGGATCATCATTTAGTTAGCATTATGTAATTCAGTATGCAAAGATGTTGAGCGTCAGGGCTCAGGATCTGCCACCCACCAACAAGCTTCACTCTCTCCCCCTGCCTAAATAGTTTTCTCATCTACCCTTAAGTTCTACATTCAACATCAACATACAACAGCACCCCAGTAAAGTTTGGTTCTGCCTTGTGTGAGCATTTCTGCACCCTGTGTCTTTGCCTATAATGCACACTAAAAAACATACGATTAAAGTGAAAAGTTAACAGTGAAACACACTAATGTAAACTAAACTTAACTAGACAACTACATCCCCCAACTGCTCCCTGCTTGGTTTCAATGAAAGAGCCACTTCACACATTCCAGGCAGGGGTGTGAACTAAACTGTCCTGTGAATGACCAGTCTTTTTAGCTTTTTCTTTTTTGTTTAACAGTGGGATTCCTGACAGAATTACGATGGAGATTTTAGCTCTCTTCCAGTCTGTTTTGTGTTTGCCTTGCAAAATTACCCCTTACTGGTAGACTAATAGGTCTGATTCGGCCTTATTTGGATTGTAGTTTCTGCTTAACAGTGTGATGTGACTAAAATATTTGCAACGATATAAAGGAACATAAATCTAATAAACAGTGAAAAGTGCGCATTATTTGAAACTGTATCATACATATACAGTGGCTATTGAAAGGTTGTGAAAGGGTATTTCACATATGAAAACGATTATGTACATTTACCATGAACTCCCTTACCAATATTAATCTATATAAAGATTATTTTCATTTTTGATTGATTCCTGTGCATTACCTCTACATTATTCTTGTTTTTACAATAATGTAGCCTAATATTCAATTCGGCTGAGGTTTGGTAACTCCCGATACTTCAGCACTGTAGATATAACCTAGTTTACATAGGCTATAACTACTGTGACAGATTGGCGCGGCTATTCTCATTCTCTTGGGTGGGAAAAAACGAGAAGCGGAAAAATCAGTAGTGTACGTCGACTGCGCGCTGACGTCATTATTACTTCTTAAAATCACAACTCCCATTGGTTAATATTTTAAATGGACGGACACCCGCTTCGCTGTGATTGGTTTGCGCCCTTTGCGCACGGATTTCAAATAAGGAACAACGACTGGCGGACTTTCAGTTGAGAAGCATTTAACCTAGGTGGAGCGGCTCTCACTCGTCGGTCAGCTCAGCGGGCAAAAGGAGGGAAGCAAGAATCTTCTTTGGATAACAATAAATACAAACGTGAGGTAGGAGGCTTCACTTCATATCTCCCACCGTCCGAAGTGTTGATGTTAAGATGCTACATGTGTAATGATTGTCTGTCAGCAACATTAGCTTTCCGGAGTAACGTTACATGCTAGGTTAAGGTTAGTTAGGTCCATCGAAAAGCTAGGGGAATTAAATGTCTGCTAACTATTCGAACAGAAACGGTGCTTAATTGCAGAGTATAATTAGTATTGATAGTTTGAGTAATGCGGGTGCACACGAGCTGATAAAGTAACTTACGAACTACTTGACATACACCCACTGTACTCGCGCAAATGGAGGTTACTAAGTGATGTTATCTGGTACAGAACATTTACCCGTTAGTAAGCATTAAGTTATATCATAAGATGAATTTTGTTTAGAAAACACCAACATGCATTTAATAACGTTTGTCTCCTGTCTGATTATATTCACGTCACTCTTGCTACTTTTCCGCCAAATCTACATCGCGCCAAAATCAACCATTTGTTTTGTAAAATGTTTGGCGGTAGAGTTTCTAACTATATCCACTTGTTATCTTAATAGTTTAATAGCGATATAGACATATGTTATTCCTTTATTCGTGTCTGGCAACTTAATAGATAACTTTGATGTTGGATGTTGCTAAGTTAGCTTGCATGAGAGAAGCCATCTTGACAATCACATTCAGCATGTAAAATTTAACATAATCTCCTGATGTGTCTCATTTATCCAGGAATCTACATACTGCACAGTGTGTATGTTTCACTCTAAGAAAGCCACAATGAAATGTCCTAGCTACGAGGCTGCCAGGGCCAACAACATGGAGAAAAGCTCTGCTAATATGGCTGCTGCGCAGTCCAAGGTGCTTCACATCAAAGCTTCACCAGTGAAAGAGCCCATTCCCATTAAACCTCAGTGTCCACCTGCCAGTGTGACCACAGTGTTGTTCTCTCTCAACAACGACACCAGACAAGTCCACAACAAGGAAAACAGCACCAACAGAGAACTTGACAGGACTGCGGATGAAGCGTTTGAGGACAGTGGCTATCTGTCTCTGCACAACAGTCAGATTTTTGATCACGGGAATGAGGAGGATGACCACATCCAGGGAAAACTCAAAGCAACCCTACTGCCTTCTGCTGCACATCAAGAAAAGACAATATCACCAAATAATTCTCCCTCCAAATGTCAGGGGAGGACAAACTCTAGCTGTCCAATGTCTCTGGTGGCAGCTTCCACTCCTCGTCCCACGAGGAGAATAGCGGCATCCACCCCCTCCGACCATCACAATGACCCCAACCTGCCTATACTGAAGTTCCAGCGGGCTGTGTGCGAAGAGCTTGCCAAGAGCTATCAGAAGAATAAAAGGTAGGATTATATTATCATATGACCATATCTTTCCGTTTATGGGATATCTTGACAATATCAAAACTATAAATGGTTTGAAAGTTTGATTCTTTGTTTCAGTTAAACAAAAAGACTTAATTGTCTACTGAACATTTTACAGTTAACTTACAGCTGTTTTCCTATGTCTTAGGTATGACTGGAGCATAGTCTCAAAGGTGGCAGAGGATTATATTTTGGATCGGGTGATCGGAGGCCATATGGGTCAGGAGTACGTCGACGTGTTAACATCTCTGCTGTCCAGGAACATGAGAAGCATCCTGACCAACATCCTGGCTCTGCTGGGAGACATGGACCTCATTAGGTAAACTACCACATGCTTCACTGTGTGGAAAGAGGGTTCATATTCATAAGTGATGGCCAACATGCAATTTTGATTGTTTCAAGGGTGTTAAAGGGGGAAAGTTGTTTTTATCAGTCTGCTTAAAACCAAACACAATTAGCAGCTGATGTAAACAGTAAAACTAATAAGTATCTTTTTAAGGGAACAAGTAGTTTTTTGTGTGTCTATGTGCGCTCAGATGAAGGCATGGCCTGTGAGCTATTCAAAGGAAATTTAGTACTTTAGAGAAACTGACAAGAATTATTTCCTCTTCATAGTTACCATGTTTTTCTCGTCCACATTCATCACATGTTCACCTTTTCTCAACTCACAGCTGTAAGAAAGTGAGCAAGACGTGGAGGAAGATCATCTGTGAGGATACCACAGCTCTGAACAGGTGTCGGCAAGCTGAGGATGCTCTCAGGGTGAGGAAACGCACACAAACCCACACCAGTAATCGCATCTAAGAAATAAGATAATTTGAACAAGAATTTGGGCATTTTGGTGCCTCTGGTCATCGATGGGGTTACACACACACAGGAAGTGTACAGCCTCTGTTCTCTACATGCCTTGGCTCATAGCTGAAACCACACACCATGTTCTGAAACAATACTGGGGACTACACCACTGAATAAACACAATATGTTGCCTTTAGCTTCAAAAACCCTTAAACCCAATTCAACCACACCTTTCTATGTCTGTTTAACTTGAGGTTTGACTTTTGGTTTTATCTCCACTTGTGTTCCCCATGTGGAAAATCCCAAGATGAGGAATTCTTGAATTCCTTAATATCTACATATCCCAGATTTGGCTAATATGGGAAACTTTTTTTTTTTTTTTTTTTAAGAAAGAATGAAAGTTTGCCACTTAACTACTTCAAATGAATGTGACGAATAGGAGAAAAAACGATGTGTTAAGTGTCGGTGTATGTGTTGGCATACTTTGTTAAAAAGTTTTGAAATACTAAATGTGTAGCTGAAACTTATTCAGTGTTTTTCATGCTATAATTTGTTTTTGTTTGTTTGTTTTTTAGGAATCAAGTAGCTCTTTGAGACAAAGGGATTGTGGTCTGACAAGAGATGTGGCTGTGTCCAGGGTGGTGCTGTCCTGCATGCAGACCCTGGCCTCATCAAGCACTCAATCATCCTCTTCCTCCTCATCCTCACGGAGCTGCAGGGTCAATAGACAGACTGCTCCCTCTCAAAAGAGCAGTACAACCAATTCCCAATGTACACGCTTCAATGAATTTATGCAGGTGAGTGTTTGGGTATGAAGGCCTGCATCTACTGATTTGTTTTCATTATCAATTTAGTTATAGTCAGTTATTTTCTCCATTAATTATTTGGTCCTAAAAACGTTGGGAAATGGTGAAACATGTCTATCCACAAACTCTAAAACCCAAACCACGTCCAAAACCCAAATATATTAATTTTACTATAATGTAACACAAGTAACTGTAGCAGATTCTTACACTGAGAATCAGAAACCATCGAACTTAAAGGAGTTTTTACTTGAAAATGACAACTTGAAAATTGTTGCTAATTAGTTTTCTATTGATCCATTAATTGACATAATTGCAAAGTGTATTAGGGTTGTCACACAGTGAAAATGATGCTTGAGCATACAATGGATTTTAAGCTTCGAAAAATGTACTAATGTACATTATGTTCTTTAGATTTCACCTTTAACAAACATGTGTTTTTGTTCTTCTGTCCAGGCCGCCAACAGACTGAAGCAGCACCAGTCTCTGCGTTCCTGCAAGCGTTGCGGCTCACCCGCAACTCATTCAGCCGAGACTCAGAGGGCTACATGCACACGGCTCAACTGTCAATTCGACTTCTGCACCCACTGCCAAGAGGCCTTCCACGGCTCCATCCCCTGCCGAACAGTGCTGCCAAGAGCCCACTCCGCCTCCAAGACGACCTCAATCATACCAGGTAGCACTCGCAGCAAGAGGAACGTCAGGCGCCTGTGATGGGGGTTTTAATCACTGACTGTTTTAACTGGGTGGGTCATCTTTCTCTGCACTGGCAGCGTTTCCAGTAGCTCGGACAATGTGGGAAAATTTTACCGGAGCAGTCTGGAAGTGGCTTCTATGTGCGCACTGTGGCAATAAGACTTGGTGTTACATGTAGAACTCAACTGACTGAAGCACTTGTTAAAAACACAACTTGGACAATCAACCAGAAAGTGTCATCTGGCTAAATCTGTTGTCGTCTCTCAGCGACAACATATTTGATGCCAAAGAAGTCAGACTCATAAGCTTTAAATCGTACAATTTTTATTATGTTTTAAAATGAAATTAATGTAACTATATATTGTCATTTTTAAGTGGTTTTGTATACAATTTTTTTTTTGTTTGTTTTTTTGTATAAACGTTGATCTTCAAAGGGTCTTTAAATGTTCAGATTCACTGATGTGTGTTAACTGTAAATAGATGTTTCATAAAACGTAACCTGTTTTTGTGGTTCATTTATCGCAGAACTGCGTGCAGACTCAGCTTCGGTTTGACGTGTGACATGGTGAAAATTGAGTTTGATATGAGTTTTATTTGACCATAAGAAATTATGAATATCTTCACTAATTTTCTTAGGTGATTAGTTTGTTGAATAATCTATTGAGAATCAGTCAATTCTAAAGCTGACCTAGTTACAACTTCTCTTTTTGTTTTCTCATTATAGGTTAAGGTTAAGGAACCTGCCATTTTGGCTTTTGGGCTGTTGGTTGGTCAAAACAACTTTAAAGTTGCCTTGTTGATATAGAACGAGTTTATAAAATGCCAATCACTCAAGTAATTTCATTTCATGATACTTGCACTCCATTTCAGAGAGAAATATTGTATTACTGCACTACATTTATCTGCCAGCTACAGTTACTAGTTACCTTACAATTTAGGATTATTGCACACCGAACATAAAGAGCCTATAAAATATGTTGGGTGCTAACCATTTCAACTTAAAAGGAAACTTAAGTTATAGTTGTAGTAGTAAATGTTATTTACTACTGCAAATATCGATATGTGTTATAATGTTTCTTAGATTTCAGCTCTGGTCACTTCCTGAATTATTTCACTAGAGGGCAGCATTGTTCCCTCCCTGTGGAGCTCCTCATCTCTGCATCATTGGGACTTTGGCTCTCTTGTTTTGTATCTCACAACCTGTTTTTATTTTTATGACATCCTATTTATTCACTTATTGTCATTTTTGTTTTGGTGAGTCGCATAAAAATATACAACGTTATATTAAATATCCAGTCAGAGATGACATAAATAGAGATAAATATAAACATGAATAATAACATTGTCAATGTTGAGAAGTTAGACTCTCTGTCATACTTTTAAAAAGTTAATATATAAATGTTTCTTCAAAAATAATAATTTTCATGCAAACATACACTATATGAAAAAAACATCACTGTAAATGTGCATTTAATTACTTTTTTTTAAAAAAATTTTATTTGGCAGTCTTCTATTGAAATCGTTTTAATCATTCATCAATGTACAATGCCAGCAAGTTAGCTGCAAGCTAATGCTAATGCTCGGGGGAGGCGGCTAGCTTGTCTCCAGTGGACCATGCGCTCAGCCAGCAAGCTGTTAGGGGAGTGGGCCGGACACTGCTCCAGATCACAGGGACAGGCGGCCGCCTTAGAACCAAAGTAGTACATTTTCAAATTAATTTATTTTCGATCCCTACCAAGCACAGTCTGCAGCAAAGAGACAACTTCAGCCTGAGCTGCATTGTTGACCACCGTTATGCATTTTGCCTCCACCTGTCTTTAGTCTTTTTATGTTGATTAGTGGTTGGTGTGCCACCTAGTGGAAGCAATTTTTTTGTTAATTTCTTGCTATTCTCCCCATGCCAACCCTCCCCTTAGATGCAGGATAGAAATGGATTACTTGACTGCTCTTTTATTAAAGGACACGTTTACACAACAGTATTACAGTATTCACGTTCTCATGGAGACAGAGTAGCTGGGTAGTGTACAACCCCAATGGGTCTCATCCAGATTATGAACTGGATATAAATCCTAAAATTTGAAACATTAATTTTAGTGTGAAAAATTACACAAACATTTTATGGCCTCACAGCACCAGAGCCCCATTCATTGTTACAGAGTAAACTGGGATGACATTGCACATTTTAAGGTTCTCCCTTTTGGTTACTAAGTTTAGAGGAGAGTGCTGCATGTTCACAAATATTCACCCATCTGTTCTGGGGATCAGGAATAAGAAATGTGAATTCTTAAAAAAAGGTTCCTGCGTTTCACCTGTGCTTCCACATTAAGTCCAGACTCTGAGGAGGAAAGGTTACAGAGGCTGGAAAATGCAGGATTCATACTGCACATTTGATATGTTTAGTGTCAGAGAGGATTAATCTAAAACTTCTTCAGCAGGAAGGAGAGGGGTGAAGCCTAACCCTTCCAACACAGGAAAGACATGCAGCACAGAATGAATTGAAGACAGATTTGCTCCTGCTACTGTCAGGAAATTGTCCCTTGTGAACCCCCCAACTTCAGGGAGGTGGAAGAAAAAGCTGCAACAGTGTTCATGTTTCGTAGGAAGATTATTAGAGACGAAGAGAAACTTTTCTTGCAGTAAATTGTGGCACAAAAGTCTGAAAATTACATTAAATTTAGCATGCTGTCAGTCACTGATGAGGTATTAAAACTTAAAAGTTTTTCATCTTTCTTCGTACAGTAGCTGTCGTGCACTCAGTGTTCTTTTCTTTTACTTCTAATGCTTCATAATGCCTTGTGAGCTGTTGTGACAGGTCTGACAAAAACTGAGCTGTGGTCAGTTTAATATCAGTTTGATTTGAGAGAAGAAAAATACCTTTTGCATTTTTTCATTGCTGAGAGTCAGACTTTCAAAACAAACACTCACCAGCTTTTGGAAAATTCCTCCAAGGATAAAAATGCCAGTCTGCCAGTTTTCCCTTAAAAAAAAAAAGTTTGCCTGAATCAATCATCATCACTTATGAAGCTGAGAATAGCATCACTGACATTAGATGGTTACCTCTGACATTTGCAGGATGACCCATTTGTCTCTCTCTCTCTTATAGCTGAGTTGCTCAGAGTTTTGTTGTGATGACACATGTAAACATCAGTCAGCTTTCATTCATGTGTCAGCTCTTGCACGCAGAGTTATTTCAGTGGGATGTCCTGTGACGTGATAAAACCCTACTAGTTTTTCAGAAAGCACTCAAATTGCTATTTGTAGTTGTACCACGACATATCATGTTGCTTGTCAGAGCTCTCAATAAAATACTGTATTACCTAATATTTGTCTTTAAGGGACCTTTAGCAGCAGCAATATAGTTATCAGATTTTTTTTAGCCTCTCAAATGTTGATGTAGGTGTCAGCCTCAGAAATCCAGCATCTACCAGGCCTTTCTTTCAACACAGAGAGAAGCAGCTGTACACTTGTAAGAAAATGTCATGATGATGGAACTAAATGGATTATTTTGTAAAACGTCAGGGGTGCTGATGTCGCTGTGGTGGCCGCTGCCTATTAATCTGTGCTGTGGCCTTTCGCTCCCTCAGCGACTCAGGATCATTTATCTGGCAGATTTATTGATCGGCTGCTGCACCGAGACACAAGCCCAACACAGTCAGACCTGCTGCTAATTGTAAAAGTCATTAGAGCTGGCTTCCACATCTGTGTGTGTGTGTGTGTGTGTGTGTGTGTGTGTGTGTGTGTGTGTGTGTGTGTGTGTGTGTGTGTGTGTGTGTGTGTGTGTGTTGTGTGTGTTGTGTGTGTGTGTGTGTGTGTGTGTGTGTGTGTGTGTGTGAATAAACTGGTGCATCATGGGGACTCAAACACAACATTGTAGCTGTAGCCTCCTATGTTGTTAGGGCATTTAGAGCAACTTGCTGCAGGTCAACATTTTGTATAATATATTATGTCACAAAAACACAGAATATCCACTCACTTATAATGTTAATGGAAGGCAAGAAAAGGAGTTTTAATTTAATTGTTTAGTATTTTCTCTTGAAAGCGAGGCAAATCCATGTCTGTGTTCTTCTCATCATCCTGTCCCCTGGACTCTTTTCTGTCACTATTCTTAGCATTTTATCTGCTCATCCTTTGAAGTTCACTCTTTTTCTGCTTTTTCGCATAAATAGCACATTTCAGCCCAAGGATAGAGGAGGGGTGGGGGGTGGGGTGGGGGTGGGGTGGCGGGTGGGTTATGTAATATGACAGGGCAAGATCCGGACCATGTGAGCTGCATCTGTGTGTGTGTGTTTTTCAGGTTGATGATCTTGATGCACAGTGACTTCCACATGTCAATCGGCCGTATGTCACCAAAGTTGAACTGTAAAAGCCCTGAAATGAAGCTGTCAGTAGATCGCCGCCAGGGAAATGAGAAGCAAGCAGGAAGTGAGTCTTCAGACTGAGAATGAGGAGGGGAAAAATGAAGTCTGGCTGGTAACTTCATGCTTTTAATTTAAAAAAAACAAAAAATGTACAAAACATATGTCAAGGCTTTATTTAAGCTTTATTGCAGAGGTGTTGTTAGGATCTTGAAACACTGAGGGTTTAGCTCAGCCCAGCCCCAATTTGTGGCAGACAGAATAGTCAGAATCTGCACTTGTAACAGCTTTGTTTACTAATTTTTGTATTATTGATTAGTGATGCATGGAAATATAAGAAAATGGAAATATCACCTGAAGAGGTTCAGTGAGCGCTTTCTGAGTCATACCTGTACATGTATATGTGTCTTCAGCTGAGCTCAGCCTTCACACACACACACACACACACACACACACACACACACACACACACACACACACACACACATACACACAGTGCTTGGTGTTAAAAGGTTGCAGCCCTCTCTCTCTGTCCATTTTTACTCCGTTTGATCCATTAAGATCAGCAGTGATGAGAGTTAATGAATGAAGCCACAAAACAGGCAGTAATCACACATGTCCTGGAGACACACAGACACACACAGAATTGTATGTACCACAATGCTTACACAGAAACGCACTGACCAGAGTTTTTTTTTTTTAATGATGACAAATCCGCCTCACTCAATTCAATGTGCTTACACGAAAACACGCACATATGAACGCGCATAAAATCACAAGCACAACATGAGCAAACACTGTTAATGTGCAGGCTATTGGATGTGTTTAAACAAAGGTGAACATACAAAATTTACTGTAGACACTGGAGCATAAGTTACAAAATATACACACAGGATGACTGACAGGGTTTGAGGTTTGGACAAAACAAGCAATGTGAAGCTTTCACTTGGAGGTCTGGGTACAGTAATATATTAATGTACCATTAATGACAATCTAATGATTTTGTACATAGGCCTAATAGTGCAACATTAATAGGATTGTTTAGTATTGTTGAGTAATTTAATACTTTAAATTAATTTTTCTGATTA